TCAAGAACCAGACCAAGGTCGGATGATCGTGACAATGTCTGCAGGTCTCGCTTGGCGATGGTTTCAAGAAATCTGCCACGGCCACCTGTTTTCCAAGGGCCGGTAGGCTGCAGCGCTGCGCCGTCAGTGGACCTGCCGCTGGCAATAACTTTTGTGTGGCAGCTGTGTAAGCAGACGATTGTAGGTTTGGAGCTGAGTGAGATTGGAGCAAGAATCCAAAGCACCGGTAGAAAAGATCGGACCCCAGAAGTTTCAATAAGTAGCACAGCGATGTGTCCATCAGGTGACTTCATGTTTCTTGAGCGACAGATGCCCTACTGGGTCTGCGTGTCAGCACAAATGACCGTGGAACATCGTGCAACGATGCCGCAGCGCCCACAGCTTTCAGGCATAGTTCAGATTCCTGTGTCCTTTTTCGCACTTTGCAGCCCGAAGGATGTCGAAGCACGCGACCTTGGTGTTCTCTCGTCACGGTGAGTCGGAGTGGAACGTGGCGAACATCTTCACAGGATGGGTGGATGTGGATCTGTCCGAGAAGGGCTTGGGTGAGGCCAAGGGCGCAGGTGAACTTCTGAAGGCCGAAGGCTTGCAGATTGACGTGGCCTTCACGTCCTACCTGAAGCGCGCCATCAAGACGTGCAACTTGGCCCTGGAGGGAGCGGATCAGCTGTACGTCCCTGTGAACAAGTCCTGGCGTCTGAACGAGCGCATGTACGGTGGCCTGACGGGCTTGGACAAGAAGGAGACCGTCGTCAAGCATGGTGCGGAGCAGGTTCAGGTTTGGCGACGTAGTTTCGACATCCCACCACCAGCCCTCGAGAAGGACAGCAAGTACCACCCGTGCCACGAGGCCAAGTACGCGGCACTGGATCCCAAGGATCTTCCAGACACAGAGTGTCTGAAGGACACGATTGCTCGTGTGATGCCTTACTGGGAGTCCACCATTGCCCCTGAGCTGAAGGCTGGCAAGACTGTGTTCGTGGCTGCCCATGGCAACTCCATCCGGGCCATCGTGAAGATGATCGAGGGCATCTCGGACGATGTCATTCCGGGCCTTGAGATTCCCACCGGGACGCCCCTGGTCTACGAACTCGATGCGGATCTCAAGCCCATCGCAACCTCCATGGCCGTGGAACCCCTCAAGTTCGGCCGCTATCTTGGTGATGCCGAGAAGATCAAGGCCGCCGCCGAGGCCGTCAAGAACCAGACCAAGGTCGGATGA